ACACTTTTTCCATCTTTAATGTTTAGTTTGTAGTAAGTATTTAATTTCTCATGGAATATTATCTAAACTGCTTGCTCGCACTAAAATGTAACTTGATGAAGACTTTCGCAAATGATAATGACTTCCCTTGAGTCATTTAGCCTCTAAACGTAAAAAGACTACTTGTAAGTTAACTTCATAATATTTAACTTGGGCTCCACAGCTCTCTGATTGTTCTCACTAAAATTGAAACTTTAAAATGCTAACAGCTTTGAGTCATTTAGCTTCTAAATGTTAAAATACCACTTGTAAGTTAATGTTATAATATCTAACTAGGGTTCCAACTCTCCTTAATTACTCACTCTAAAATTTTAACTTTGTAAACGATAAAGACTTTCTTTGAGTCATTTAGCTTCTTAACGTAAAAAGACTACTTGTAAGTTAACTTCATAATACTTAACTCGGGCTCCATAGCTCTCCGATTGTTCTCACTAAAATTGAAACTTTAAAATGTTAACAACTTTGAGTCATTTAGCTTCTAAATGTTAAAAGACCACTTGTAAGTTAATGTTATAATATCTAACTAGGGCTCCAACTCTCCTTAATTACTCAAGCTAAAATTGTAACTTTGTAAACGATAAAGACTTTCTTTGAGTCATTTAGCTTCTTAACATAAAAAGACTACTTATAAGTTAATAATATTACCTGCATATCTATTAAAGCATCACAACTCCATAATTGCTAGCACTAAAATCGTAACTTCTTAAATAATAATAACTTTCTTTGAATCATTTGAACATTAAACTATGAAATGTATTATAAAATATATACATAGAATACAAACCAGGTATAGAAAAGGGTAAAATGATTAGCACTGTCAAAAATAATGTCGAAATCAATTTAACCAACATCACTTAGACTAGTCAAAAAAATTTATAGCTAGACTCAAGAAAGTAGAGAAGTTAACATCATCGAAAATATTTATTCCAAATTATACAAATTCACACAATCACAAAATCAATATTTTTCAAAAAAACTAAAAAACTCAGAAATTATTACACTATGTATTACATACACTAATTAATATCACATACAATTACAGGGAACAATTTAAAAGCAATTAAAAAATTTCTGTGAATATGAAAAAGAACAAAGTGATATCGATCGTAATTATTTGAACGAATTTTGACTATTAAATTTATTAAATTTAATTATGAAAAGAGAAGGTTTTAAACCATTAATGTTAAATTGTACTAAGAGAATTATTTATCATTAAATTAAATTTTTAAACTTTAACATAATATTTTAAATTATCGAAAAATTTATTAATTAAACTATATGTAAATTATAGAACAATATGACTATTAAATTTGAAAAGAAGATTCAGTATGAAAACTGTTTGTTTGTATTATCAAAACTATTTTGTTGAGAAAAGGCTATCATCAATTTATAAGAAAGAAATGTAATTACAATTTATCATAATAATAAAGCATAATAATTTTTATAATTTATACTACAGATTTAATAATTTTATGCATGGTTAATAGTAGTAAGTTTGAGAGTTAATTCTTATCGGGGGAATTTAATTTACAAGGAAGAAAAGTCATAGAGATTTGAAAATTTTATGTATAATTAATTAATTAAGAGGGTAAAAACTTTCCATATATTAAAATATAAAGTGTTTCATATTAAGAACTTTCTATATGCATTGTTTCAATTTCTTACATTTAATAATGGAATCTAAGAAAGTAATGATTTTTTTACATTTTTTCTCTGAAAAAATGTAAATGAAATAGTTTAAAAAAGGGAGAAATTTTTTTTTTAATTAAGTCTTCCTAATGCCTTAGTTAATTAGACGGAAAGCTTCCATTGCTCACATTCTGATAAGAGATAAAACTTCAAGTGATAAAAAATAAATAAGCGTCATTATTTGATTCTACTGACATTTTATTTGAGAACTTTTGTTCCTTCTAGATATCTGAAAGGACACTAAGTTACAAAACAAATAGAATTCGTATGTGTCAAGGTTCAGGACAAAGTTCACTCGACCGACAGAAAACTCGTGTCCGTTATCCACTGAAGCGAGGAATTTTTCCCTTTTCCACGGACTCTTTAATAACCTTAATCACTTATGTTAGCATTTGTAGATATAAATTCAAATAATATAAATGTGTTTTGAACTTTTTTGACTGTCTAAAGTTTAAACTTAACATGTTTCTACTTTAAATTTCAACTTTAAGAACGAATACAGTTAGGAAAAAAAAAACTTTTGTTTCTAATGACAACATCTTCAGAGTTTAGAATTAAGCGTCTCTGAACTCAAGCTTAAATTCTTGAACCATAAAATAAATGAGGTGGTTTATAATCCAAAAATTTATTATATGATTTATTTTTTCGTTCTGAAACTTCTTGTTATACTTCTTTTTTACTTATTATTATTTTTGTTTTTATTATTTATGAATTTTTTGTCCCACTTGAATTGTCCGAAACTATTTTTTTACAGACAAAATGTGGTTTAAAAAGAAAACAGTATACTTGTGATTATTTAAAACTCGTGTATCCAAGGATATATCGAGAAATTGCATCATTTATATCAGATATTAATAGCCACATTTTCTTAATTTTACAACAATATATCAAGGTTTAGTAGTCGACTTTTCAAAACAGGGGGTATACTTCTACACCAGTATTAATGTCGGACATTCATTAATAGGGTTTTATCGATGCATTATAAACAATGAGATAAATATGAATAACTCTGTATCAATTTAACCCTTTCAAACACTATTTTTACTATGTTATAAACAATTAATTTTGCATTTACTAGTTAACGGTATACTTGTCATTCTTTAAAACTCGTGTATCCAAGGATATATCAAGAAATCGGCATCATTTATATCAGATATTAATAGCCACATTTTCTCAGTGTTACTACAATATATCAAGGTGCAGTTGTCGACTTTTCAAAACAGGGAGTATACTTCTACTTTAGTATTAATGTCGGACATTCATTAATAGGGGTTTATCGATGCATTATAAACAATGAGATAAATATGAATAACTCTGTATCAATTTAACCCTTTCAAACACTATTTTTACTATGTGATAAACAATTAATTTTGCATTTACTAGTTAACGGTATACTTGTCATTATTTAAAACAGTGTACTTGTCATTATTTAAAACTCGTGTATCCAAGGATATATTGAGAAATCGGCATCATTTATATCAGATATTAATAACCACATTTTTTCAGTGTTACTACAATATATCAAGGTGCAGTTGTCGACTTTTCAAAACAGGGGGTATACTTCTATACCAGTATTAATGTCGGACATTCATTAATAGGGGTTTATTGATGCATTATAAGCAGTGAGATAAATATGAATAACTCTGTATCAATTTAACCGTTTCAAACACTATTTTTACTATGTTATAAACAATTAATTTTGTATTTACTAGTTAACGGTTAGCGTAATAGTATTTGTTAAAGCTTTCTTACTTGTGAGTAATGGTATCATTTTCTGAGAGAACAATGTGAAATATTTTTAGAATGAGTAAATTTTGTTAAATTAAAAAATTTCTTTCGTTTTCTTTTTAATTTTAGAAATTTTTGTATTTGGTTTTTTACACCTGACATACCTGAATTTTACTATTTCGTAATCAAAACTTAAGAGTTGATTTTAACACCAGGATATAGGAAGCAGTCATTTTGTTTGTTATCACTTTCGAAAAATTAATTTTTAGAGCTAACTAAGTTGGTACCTGCTACTTCAGAAGAAGAAAAACTTTGAAATCACATGGTTGGGCAAATTCACGTGGTTGTGGTTTTGCCCACGTTCATGGTTCAAGCTGCATGACGCGTTAACGCTGCACCGATTATTGGGATACCTGCGAGTGACGTAGTGTGAGTATCTCGATCAATGTAACCAACGTTAGTAACAGTTCTTTCTATTCTATTTAGAGTAAGCCAAGCCCACCAAGTATCAATTCTCTTAAATAACACATTCTATATTCCTACACAAAGATTCTTTCACGAAGATTTTAAATTTTTCACCATGTATTTATTACTTAATACAAAGACGATCATGAATGCGCGTAGAACATAAACAAACTAATTATGCATCGAAATTGACACAACACTGTATTTTGTTAACTTTGAGTTAATTAACATTCTAACTTATATTGAGAAACTTAGCTCAACTTTAACAAGCCACTTTGCTTATGAACGATCTGCTGGTGCTGACGTTATAGATCACATATGTGGGTATCTGTGTTCTTCTTGAAGTCACAAGTATCAAATTATGAAGTATTCTCAGCTAAATCGTGGAAAAAACCTCAATTTATCCCTGCATGACGTCGCTTGCAGGATGCAGTTGTACAATAACGGATGGTTTTTATCATTTTGATTCATTTCATTGTATTTCTGAAAAAACTCCCAGTATATGCTAATTTTTTTTCTGCTACTGCACTCATCTAATTTCTTACAATTATCTGATTATTAACACGTTGAATGCCACGCTAATTTTACACGGTTTGCCCGTCTGGTCAAATGGTAAATAACTACAAACTAAATTTGCAAATATTACACTGATTTTGCAAGTTTTTTCGAAGGCTTAGCATGACATATCTGTCTTTCTTTCTTTATTTAACAAAACTGGACACCTGGGCCGCGCAGCGGCTCCTATCCCATACATCTAGCATGACATATCTTTCTTCTTTCTTTTCTTTCTTTATTTTGCAAAAACTGAGCACCTGGGGGGCGCAGCGGCCCCTATAAGTATCATGAAATAATATTACATATATTGATTTAAAGACATTTTGATTTTAGCAACAGTAGGGTAGCTATGCATGACATAACTGAAAAAAGTGGTGAATGATATAAGCCTACGAATTGTTTAGAAATAGTGATGGATAAAAATCAACTAAATTAAATTTTTTAAACCAAGAATCAAAATTAATAAACTACCACTTCAAAATATTTATTAGCTGTCCGGAGAAAGTTGGAATCTCTGTGTATATAAATAAAAACTATTTTTGTGTGTTCTATATTGCATTAATTTCTTCAAGCCATTTAGTAACGATAATGATATAAAAAAATTAAAAATTTACTCGAATTATGTGTTTCTAATAATCTTGGCTTCACTGGTCACCGGTAACCCCGTGGCTCTACGAACAAACTCAGTGCCGGTCACCGGTGACCCCCATTGCATTCAACGTGTTAACTTGGAGGAATCCATCCACCAAAGACTTTATCGAGTTCTTTTGCGCAAGCCAAAGTAAGAGCATCATTGTTTTTTCTGGCAATTATCTGCATTCCATGTGGCAGACCAGCATGATTTAATCCAAGAGGACATTGAGTGGCTGGAAATCCAAGAAGGTTAAACACTCCTACATATGCTGTGTTTAAAACGTTTGTTACCATCGCATAATGGCGAGGTGCTGAAAAGGGAAGAGTAGGACAGAAGAAGACAGAGTTTTCATCCAGTATGTTCTCAAAATCTTCTTCTAATCTCTGAAGTAAATTCTTATGTAAATGAATTTTATCCCTGTCAGAAAGATATTTTTCAAAACCTGACGCAATTATAGTTCCTAGCGAAATTTTTGTTTTACCAAAAGCAAATTTTACTAATTCTAGTATTCCATTTATACTGTTGATTTTTCCCTGAGATACATACTGTATGATATTGGGAACATCAGAAAATAGGAGAGGAATACTTATTGTACTAGTCAACTTAAGCAACTTTACGTTCACTTCGTCTGCTGCCACGCCATGCTCAGTGAAGAAATGATCAATGGCCTGGAAAAAAAATGTTTTAATTTGAACTTACGTTTCGAAACAAAATCAAAAAATTTTCTGTTATGTTATATCAGGGTTACTACGAACGGCTAAAAATGCAAAAAGTGGTGACAACCAAAATTCAAAGTTTTATTAAAAGAGATTAAAATTAGAAATTTTTTATTGCTTATTTTTTCAGTTCATTATTGAAAGGGAATGAAACGATAGGTTTTGCTTTAAATATGAAAAATTTAAAAAAGAAGTCATAGTGATAGTAACGTTTAAATAATTAAAGAGGCAATAAATAAATAAAGTTATTTGAGCTTCTACCACTTTTTATATTTTTAGATGCCTGTGGTATCCCTGTAAAGCAGTGTATCTCAACGGGGGCGTTGAGAGTATGGTGAGGGGCGGTGGGTATGTTTTGGGTGGTAGGGGGGCGATAAGCATGTTTTGTCATTCAAATTTAAATTTAAAACTTGCAAATAAAATTATTAAATTAAATTTATTTAATAAATAAAATTAATCTAAAATTAATATTAAAGAAAAAAGATTAAATTAATATAATAAATCAAGATTATCCGATACACCTTTTGTACCACCAATAAAATGATATTTATACACCTATTCTCCGATCTGAACCAACACAGCGCAGCGCTTGAGTCAGTAGTTTTTAACCTCTGATTCATTCAAACTATTTCGCGAATGGCTCTGACTCATTAAGGCCATTTGGCGGAAATTGAAGTGCATGTGCTTTTGGTATGAATGTTTGACTTGGCCCGCGTTTTTTATGATGATTTTCGTTACCTTCCTTACAGTTTTTTCTGCAGCTCCGGTTCGATCTCATTGTTTATTTGGCCAGATATTTGCACGGATTAGTTCTTTACCATAAATTATTTATTAATTTGGAGAAAAAGTTACTTTTCTTTGATCGTTCGTATTTTGCTGCCACCAGGGCCGGATTTTAGCTTGGGGGCCCTAAGCTACTGAAAATGATGGGGCCCTTATAAGTTCAATTCCATTTCTATGCACCTGAAGTAAACTGCCACTATTTTTTATTGTTGAGTATTAACATTATATAATTAAAAAATTTGATAATATTACTTTATTGTTAAATATATTAATTGTGATGAGACTATTATGTAGAACCTTTCTTTTATTGCACATATTTTTTGAACGAGGGGAAAAAGTTACAAAAGAAACGTATTTTGAGCACAGAGTAAAAATTTGGCGTGCTGGGCCACTATATATTTAACAGAGTTTTTTTTTTAGATTCGTTTTAAATATATTTTATTTGCAATTTTTAATAATTTTTTCGCGAATTTTTTTTTCAATTATTTTTTTTTTACGTTACAAAATCTATAAGACTTAGAAACATGAAATTTTGAATGTGCGTAGAAAATATGCAAAGAGTTAAAATGAAAACAAGAAAATACAATTTGATTATTAGTTTTATTTTTTTCATAACCGCCGGTAAACAGCCGACTCAATTTTGAGTTTACGCCCTATCAACCAGGCTATCCAGGCCAAACTTATTAGTTTATTTTATAACAGTCATTGCACAGCCGACCCAATTTCGAGTTTACGACTACTAATATTCAACTCCGTAGCCTTGTCATTTTGAATCCAATCCAAAAAACAAGGGAATTGCTAGATTAGTACCCAGAGGTATTTATTTGTTACGAGAACTTGGAGGACTTTGTGATCCCGTCAGATTTAACATGCACCAGTTACCATATTATATATGGGTATTCTTCTGCCGGCTGGATTCAAACTCCCATTCTCACGAACACGAGTCCAACGCCCTATCAACCAGGCTATCCCGGCCAAATTTATTAGTTTATTTTATAACAGCCATTGCACAGCAGACCCAATTTCGAGTTCACGACTACTAATATTCAACTCCGTAGCCTTGTTAGATTTCAGAATTTTAGAAACACCTTCTAGTTATACTATTCAATCAAATGGGTTTCGATGTCTTTCATCCCGGTCTCATTAGTGATTCAGCATATTTCGATATCATTTTTATTTCGTTCTTACTTAATATTAATTTGTTTGCGACAGTTAATTTGTGTACCTGTTTTACTACATTTTCGAGGAGTTTAAGAATATAATATTGAGGATTTTAATTGAAATGAAATTTGCTTCTTTTGTATGCCCCTTTTATTACGTCATCATCACACCCACACGTAACTGTCTACTCTAAATAATGCTATATAAAGTGAGATAGCAAAACAAACGTGTGTAGTTATTTAAATTCTTATTCTAAAGTATTAGTTAATTTTTTTTTTTTGAAGATCTTTTTGGTAAATTCATCTGCAATTTCTCTGTGCTTGCACTATCGATTTCGTTTCTATGAACTACCATAAAATCTGTGCTTTCTCTTGCGGTGTATGCATAGATTCATTTTGAATATATTTTATTTGCAATTCTTAATGATTTTTTCGCGATTTTTTTTGCTTTACGTTACAAAATCTATAAGACTAAAGAAACATGAAATTTTGAATGTGCGAAGAAAATATGCAAAGAGTTAGAAAGAAAACAACAAAATACAGTTTGATTATTAGTTTTATTTTTTT